GTTTTATCAGTCAATGTCCAACAGCCTCAATACATCTAACTTGTAGATTTGTTCATCCAAGTTTATTTGTTTTGATAATAGCTCTGGTACGGATTTCTAAGTCCATGGTCATAACTAAAAACATTGGCTGATATGCTTGGCAAATTCCAAGCTAGAAATAAGTAATTCATTAAGACAATATAAGACATTTGAATCAAACTTTAGATGCAGGCAGTTATTCAGAGAACAAAACCAAAAACAGCAGAGGACTCCCACTATCATGGGGAACCCCACATCAGGCATGGCCTTTAACCAAATTTTAATTAGTTAACAAATAACAACTTCAAGGAAATGAAAGGAGTATATATATAGGAAAATATATTTTAAAAAAATATATCAAAATCATGAGGGAAATAAGGAGATAAAATACAATAATTTGCTTTTCTTGTCCAAAAGCAGACTGTGATCCAGTGTTTATAACCTCAACAAGTCACATGTTTGCTTCATTAGACACGGGAATAAAGTCCACACTGTGGGAATTAACCCAAACACAAAATAGCTTGGCTATCAATTGGGTTGGACCAAATCCTATATGCAAATTTGCACATGCACTGTTAATATCATACAGTGCAGCCCCTGGGTCATGGGATGGTCTGGTTGGTACAAATATTGAAGAAGCAGAGTGGGATTTTCTGGTACAACTTCACCAACTACCACGATGCATGAAGTGTGAAAGTTTTGAGGTCAAAAAATTCCAGTAACACTTGTCCTACCCTGATGAAGGCCACAAGCCAAAACGTGTCAGTGTAATTTGTTACCAGTGTTCCTGGTACAAATATTGAAGAAGTGTACAAAAAATGTCTGTGATTTAATCGGAGACAGGACAGGTCACAAGGAGATAAAAGACATTTAAACAATTTAGCAAGGTACAAAACTATAATGACAAGTTGGCAGCTGATAGGGTTAGCACATCCTACTAAATGACATGCGCAGAAGTGTTTTGGAAATGGTGACAAAAATAAAGAAGAACACAGTAAAAAAACACAGTAGAAGATGATAGAAATAAGAGTACGTTATTGAGTGGTTACTGGCTAACATTGACGCATTCTGCAGGTATTCACTCGCTTAGATATCCCTTGTGTGAGACCCTGAATCTGTAATTGGTCATTGGCCTTCTTTCCTTGGCGCAGGACATGATTATTATCATCATTATCATCAGATACAGGTCACAGCCTGGTGATCTAATCTGAACACGATTGGAGATTGTGAATGCAGCAGAAAGAGAGCAGAGGGTTGTTTTTATAAGCTAGCACCAGCTATCAGGCCAGCAGCGAGAGCAGTCTCAAGCACTGTAAGTAAGGATGTAGAGCGGACAAATAAATAAGATTAGACAGCACAGGGCATCTGCAGGGTACACACACAGACTGATGCCCCTGAGCAATTCTTACTCATTTTACCAGGAGTTCTCTTTCCTCACTAACTCCTTCACTCCCTTTCTTTATTCTCTTACAGCCTCTCTCCAAATTTGGCTTCTCCCATCATAGAGGCTTTGATGTGCCCCTCCTCTTGTAACTTTTCTTAATTTAGCCGTCTGCTGGGCTCAAACATGCCAAATTATTGTTTTTTGGTGCTGAAGTGTACTCTATGTTACAAACATTCACTGTGTGCACATGCAATATGGACATAACAGGGTTCCCACTGCACACATCCAAAGTGTATTAAATCTAGTTGTTTAACACCTTCAGGTATGTAGCTAATTGTGCATGAATAGCTGCCAATTTGTGGTTTCTGTATTAACTATGACATAATGTGAATTCATCTTTAGTCTGCCCTTCTTTTTTGAAAGATTAATTTTTGGGCTTTTTAGGGCTTTATTTAGTGATATGACAGATAGAGTCAGAAATCAGGACCAGAGAGTTAGGAATGACATGCAGGAAAGGAGCCAGAGGTCAGATTGAAACCCGGGCCTTCCGCTTGGAGGACTATAGCCTCTGTTCATGGGTCACACGCTTTAACCACTTTGCTACCAGCGCCCATAGTCTGCCCTTTTTTAACATTCACAGTCCTTGCTGCTCAACGTGCACAATCCTTTGTTAAGGGGTGAAATAATTTAATCAATGCAGTGACATTCAAATGTACTGTAGGTGAGATGTACCCGACCCTATTAAAGAATTCACAATTTTCCTAAGTGAGTGTCCTTTGTAAGGAAACGTGTCTGAGTTCTTGAAAACTGACAGTGGTTATGAAGGCTTGGGATTTTTTTTTTTTTTAAAGCTCTTGTTAGGCATGAAAGGGCATGACAGCATCTCTAAAGAATTTTCCTTTACAAGTCAACAGTTACATAATGAATAAAAATGAAAAAGATAAAACACAGTCAAAGAGCTCTATAGTAAGGATGTGACTGCAATATGCTGGGAATGAAACTGAGGAATCTGCTTTGTGTTGTTTATTAAAACCATCCAGGGAAAAAGCACTGCCTAAGGAACTTGCAACAAAACATTGCTAACATGTCAGGTTTTTGTAGTGATTACCGGGATATCTTTGTCTTTTATACTGTAATATGTTGTAAGATAAAACAAAAGACAGCATGTTATGCAAAAATTCAACTCTGCATAGCATCACCAGGACTTAAAGGACACATTCACATTGTTTCCAGGTCACCCTAACTACACATTTACAGGTTTAGTCAATATGAGGAAATAGTCAAATAATGATGAAAAGGTTTAGTTTGGATGCACCTTCCAGTACATAACTCCCTCTGTGTTTTCATAGACTGCACTGTTTTTCTTGCTTGAATGAGCGTTGTAACACAAAGAAATACTTCATCTGTGGATCTTCAACTCAGCCTTCTGAAACCTTTTTTATAATAATGCCAGTTGAATCAGGAGAGACAAGTGAATTATGATGATAGGTTGAAAATGAGGGAGGAACGCCATGCCATTGGTTAGATGAATACCACTGACAAGACAGCTGATTATCCAATGACAGCTCAAGAATGACAGCGGAAATGTGAGTGAGCGTGGAAAAATGTTAATGAATGAGAAAGACCCGATCGTGAAGGCAATTATATAGTCTTCCTGAATGAACTTACGCTAGAGCTTCACTAGAAGAATATCAGTAGAAGATTTTGAGCCACAACTCAAAGTTGAAATTGCTGATCCCTCGCTAACATCCCTCAAAACGTTAACAAAACTCTCTATACATCCCTCTTTCACTTTATTCCACCAAATCTTTGTATTCACGCTGGTAAAGACAGGCGATAAGGCTGATAGATAATTAGTCATAAGAACCATGATAAGGTACAGTTATCAGGACAGAAATGATCCTAAGAAATAATTGCGCGGGTGAGACAATTATCGTTAGGTTGAGGAAATTATATTAGTTGCAGAGATGAAAAGAAAGTCCTATGCAGCTCGGGATTAGAAATAGATTTGTGTCTGTATCAGTCTGTAAGGCTGTGAAACCAATTAAGATGAGAGTGAACTGGGAGGGGGGAGTGAAAATGGAGACAGGAAAGTGGAGGTTGAGAAAAATTTTGTTGAAAAGGAAAATATTGGGGAGGATTCATTATCTGGTCAGTGTCCTTGAAACCACACAAAGATGTTATGAAACATAAATTGATATCTAGGTCTATAATTTAAATGTGACATAACGCTGGAACATCCAGTATACAATGTTATTGTTAAGTTTTGTTCAGTGCAGCTCACTTGTATTCTCCCCTTTTATCTGCCTTTATATGTAAGTTGTAAAATTAGAATATACAAAATATTGACCTCATTGTTAATGTCAAGTAATTATTTTATCCTTACGATATGTCAGTAATGAATGAGGTTAAACACTCCTCATTGTGATAAAAACAGAAGGGACATTTAGTTTGGTGTGATGGTATGTTTGTTTGTAAACCACAAACACTGTGACACCTGAAATAGATTTATTGTTCTGGCTCTGGTTTTAAAAAAGAAATACTTTTGTTAGACCTTTTTAAAAGTGCAGTCATATTATGGGAAAAAAGCATGTGCCCATGCTCTACTAGTACGCACGCATGGATGCATGTATGCACTCACAAGCATGACTGAAATACCTGCCAACTGCAGAAGGCCGTAAGACAAATGTGTGGTGAACGCAACACAAACGTTCCCACCGATCATCTGTTGGTGGAGGTAATGGGCCACGAAAAGCAGCAGAGCACCAGTAAAAAACGAAAGAAAAAACAGGAAAGGTGGAAGCAGCTACTAAATTGAAACTGTCACAAGAACAATGCAGGTTTAAACATATTTGAAAATGTGTTGCTGTATGTATTTTCTTGTCTTTTACCAAAACCTAAGAGAATTTATTGTGCTCTATGTTTAAAATGTGTTTGATGTGAGGCACAATGGGAACACTTGACAAAAGAAATCCACTTTCCAACCTTTGGAGTGAACTTCAGTTTTCCAGAAATCTCTCTTTTCCACCTCTTTTATCTAACAAAGAATAAAATGGAAAGCACATAAGCACATGAATATTATGAAAGGGTGTTTACTTGTGATGTGTTTTCTTTAAAACTTAAAAAAAGTTGTTGAAGAAAAACTTTCTGTTCTTAATTTTAAAGCCCCACAATATGTTGTGGAGGCAGCACACTTCAAGCTTCAGAATAGTTTTATACACAAGGCAGCTTGCCAGCAGCTACATGAAGAAACTGAGTTTCTGCCAGATCTTTAAATGAACCACTTAGTCTTAATTTTCCCCCTTAAGTTCATCCAAGATGTATGAGTTTGAATATAGTTTAATGTGAATTAAATGTGGTAGATGCCTTCTACATTATGTTGTACACATTAAGACTCACAGCTGTAATTTTAAAATGTAAATGTACCCATTACTGGGCACAGCAGGGTTTACGAGATAAATAGGCAAGTTGCCTCAGTAGAGCAATTACTGCAGCAATACTGATTATACTGAAACATTACAGCACATTAACTGTTTTCAAACATCTACATGAAAATAACTCCATTCAAATTCAGTTTTCTCTCTGTGTTGTTTTGCAGGGCCCACTCCTGGCCTGTGTCACTCCCAGCTAATGGATGTCTTTACCCAGTATGCCTACAACGACAGTTTCTTTGACAATGGAACGTTCAACGAAACAGATCAGGAACAGAAGCACCCGTACAATTACTACGCCATGCTGCTTACCCTGCTCATCTTTGTCATTGTCTTCGGCAACGTGCTGGTGTGCATGGCCGTGTCTAGAGAGAAGGCTCTGCAGACCACCACCAACTACCTGATCGTCAGCCTGGCTGTCGCTGACCTCCTGGTGGCTACACTGGTCATGCCCTGGGTCGTCTATTTAGAGGTAGGAAAGCAGAGACACACACACACACACACACACACATAAAAAATATATATATATATATATATATATATATATATATATATATATATATATATAGATATACTCCTATTCGGAGAGACAAAGGAGAGGGGAAAATGAACATTCCTTCAATTTATCTCTAGCTATACCTGTTTTTCTTGTATGAAGATAAAATAAAGATTGTGATGATTGCATCAAATGGGATACAAAACAATCCCTGTTTTAGTATTACAGTGCCTTGAATAGGTATTCACCTCCATTGTAATTTTTCTGCATTTGATTAATTTTACAATTAGGACTTTAATTGACTTTTCGGGGGATTAACCATTAAGTACAAAACCCTGAAACATCAGATATCTGGATCCACAAATGTTAAACTGAAAGCAATTGGTTGTCAAATACCTAATTAAATAGATAAAATACAACTTTTTTGTATCTTTATTTTTTATAATTTAATAAATATTTATTATTATTTATTTTTTTCAAATAATGTTAAATTCCGAGTAATATTACCCCCTCTCTCCAGAATAATGACCTTTGAAAAAAAAAAACCCGGGTAAAATCCATTTAAATCTGCAGTTGTTAAATGAAAAAATATTACTTGAAAGAGACTGAATATGTATGTCAGGCGCTGTGTTTCCAATTTGACAAATGTTTGAACAAGAATTGAATTTACACAGACAATAATCTGATTTTGATTTAGAATTCAGTACAGCAAGAGGTAAACACTATTATGCATGAGACAAAATCATGGAGCCGTAACACACAAAAGGTTTGAGTTAGACAAGCTGGCAGCATTTTCAGCAGGTCAGAGGCTCAAGGTGAAACAGAGGTGACGGCTTAAATGTTCACATCAGCATTGTAAATATCAGTCCTGCAGTGCTTAAAGGGCTGTAATGTAGCAGCAGCATGTAACAACATCAAAATGTCAGACCTGTCTACTTAGTTGGAGGTCAGACAGTTATGAATAATTCCTCCTAATTTTGGGATAAAAACATTTTTTTTTTGCAGTCACTGCTGTGTTGGATAATGCAGACTTGCTTTTTTAAAATGCAGTTATGACACACGGACAAGGCTGAAAAGTGGCACTAGACTTAGGTCCAGCAGAAAGATCATCTCCAATCTTCCAAATCAATTGTGAGCAGGATGTGGGCTATCTTTCAGAAAACTCTCTCTTCTCTATCTCTGAACTGTTTCTCCATTCTCCTGTCTCTTTTTCGGGCCCTGGGGTTATTTCTGGCCATCAGGCTTTAGGTCACACTATGTGATTTAGAGAAAGGCAATCTAAGAGGGACTCTAATCCTCCTGTGTCTCTCAGTGAGTCATGATGATTATCACTCTGATCAGATTACAGAGTATAAATCCATAGGGTGTCATGGTCTTTGCCTGTTTCCATGCATGTTTGTTTGCACATACACAGAGGCCAATGGAAATGTTTCACTTCGTAAATATGTCAAATTTTAATTATATAACACTATTTAACCCACACAGTTGGCTTCACACACACAGGCATAAAAACAAATAAACACTCAAAAAGTCACAACAAAGCCAAAAACTATGAGTAATTTCAGAGGGTGGGAGCTAAAACAGCAAAGGTGTAATCACCTGTCAAATGGGAATGGATAGAAGGCGAGTATTTGATGATCATTATGCATAAGGACTATAATATGGAACTAGGAAGTTGGAAATTTGACTGTGGGAGAGGTCATGCAGTGCCTTGTAGGTAACTTATTGGATCTTATAATTTATTCTGAATTTAAAAGGAAGTCAATAAAGGGATGAAAAAAGTGGGATTTAGGGTCGATGAGCAGTGCTAGTTAATAATCTGGCAGCTCAATTTAACTGTAAATAGTTCAGAGATGACTGACTGGAGCACAAGCAGAGGGAACTGCAATGAGCTAGATGAAAGATAATTAATGAGTGAATGAACAGTGCAAAATATGAAGACGGTGTTGCAACAATTATTTTCTTATATTTACAGAAAATTGACATAGTTATGGATATGATGGTCAAAAAGTAGCAGTAGAAGATCTGTAGGCTGTGAAGCTGGACAGTATGGGAGTTAACCCCTCATTAGGTGGACACAAAACTTCCTTTTTGAGGCAACAGTTTGCTAACATTGATTGGCCAACATGATCAGTAATCATCACTCACACTGGGGTACCACATGGGTGCGTCCTCTGATCTATCTTGTTTACTTTGTATACCAATGACTGTAATAGTCATCAGAATAATTTAAGCTAATTCAATTTGCTGTTGATACTGTTAGGTCTTTTAACATGACAATGTGACCACTTATGGAGCTAAGATCCAAGGCCACTTTTACAACTGTTTATTCGACCATTTATAGATTTATGAAAACTAAAGAAAAATGTTTGGTTTTAGAAGACATTAATCTTCTAAAGCCATTGAAATTGTCACGATAATAAGTATTTGGGCCCAATTATTGATGATAAAATAACATGGAATGCTGACAAAAATTCAAGATCAGCAAAGGTTCAGCATTGCAGAAACTTGTACTGTACTATGTTGAAATTTTTTTAAACAGAAGTTTCACAGAAAGTTTACCGATCTTTTTATATTCAGTGTTTGGGGGAGTGTTGTCTGTACAAAATAAGAGGAAACTGGAAAAGGTTGTTGAACTAGGTAGCAAGCTAACTGGGAAACCACTGTGAAGTATTTCTTGACCAACCAGTACACACTGAATTTATCCAATAAGATTACAGCAGACCCACTGCACCCACTTTGATCTGAGTATGTACTCTTGGCCTCAGAGTGCAGGCACAGAATGCCAAGGGTTAGGATTGTTTGAGGCAATACGTTTTTTGTACCATGCAGCATTCAGCTGCTCAACAAGCTCTGAATATACAGTAAGAACTTGGCACTCTGTCTGAACTTTTTTGAACTTTCTTCTTGAAACCCCTTGCAGATAAAGATATTCACTTTTATCTGCATGTATCAGAATGTGTGAAGATAATCTGGCAATATGTGGATACTTAATACAGCACGAGAGTGTAACTAATCACCATTCCAATGTCATTGTGGTTTAAGTATTGCTCTTTTGTTATCATTAGCATAAATTATAAGATTAAGGTTTGTTTATCTATAGTTTATGCAACCTGCGTTTCGGAAACATTTACTTGCTGTCTCTGTTGTTGTGGGAATCTGGGTACACAAAGCAGGAGACCACATCAAAGCCCCTCTTAGTTGAATGGTAATCAGCCACATATCAAAGCTCCCAATTGTAGCTGAAACACGCTCAATAAAATATGAATTGTGATATTGTTACAAAGAAAGCGAGTCCCTGACGGTTGAAACTGTTTTAATTGGTCAGGTGTGTATGTTTGGGTAAGAGCCACTCAGCGTGTTTTCAGAGTGTGACAGCTATGTTTTCGGTGAATTCATAATAAGGAAAATAGACTCAGAATGAGGAAACATGAGCAAACTTTAACGGCAGTCAGTTGCTATTTTTTGTGTCTCCTGTAATCTCTAGCTTCTTTTTTGATTTTGATGTAAAACTCACCATTGTCTAAATAATAACGATAAGAATTAAACAATATTTTTTACCTCTATACCTTCTATTTGTCGGATAAAGCCTGCAAAAAAAATCCATACAAATATAATATAAGATGCCATACATGTGAAATATGCATGGAGTGCCTCTAAAAAGCCATCATCTGCAGGAAATTACATGTATATGAAATTGAGTCGTTATAATTCAGCGGTGGCCTTTCATTCAGTGTGTACATTTTGGTCACGTTCATGTGACACGTTCAGTCACAAAATTCTCAATGCAACCGAAAGAACTTAACCTATACTAGAGGCTGTGGATCAGTGGTAGAGTCGGAGGTCTATGAGCTGGAAGATCAGGGGTTTGATCGTCAGCTCCTGCAGCAAGACACTTAACCCCATGTTGCTCCCGCTGCTTCGGCGGCAGCATATAAATGTGCATAATTGGGATTAGTTCAAACTGAAGAACACTTTACATAGCAGCCACTACCATCAGTGTGTAAATGGATGTGAATGGGTAGGTGTGACCTGCAGTGTAAAAGCACTTTCAGTAGCCAGAAGACTGGAAAAGCGCTGTACAAGCTCAAGTCCATTTGTGATTTATATTTATCATTTGATTTGGTTTGATTTAAGAATTCCTTATGATTTTAACATTTTCTGAAGCACAGAAAATTCAGATAACAACAGGTTTTGTAACAATAACATAATACAAAGCAAATTCATGCAGTTTCTTACAAAGGCAAGACTTAAACCTCCTTTCCTTATTTGTTTGGGAGACATTTATTCCCAAAGCACCAATAACAACAATTTGAGTGAAGCCCTGCTAAGATTATACATTTATTAGAAGCAAAGTGCTGGCTGTTTGTCAAAGTCAAAATATATTCCCCAGCGAGTGTTCGGAGTGGGATATTTAACAGATTTTGGCATGGTCCTCTTAGGCTGTCAGGCCTGCAGTTAATGTGGAGCGGGATAAACTGAGGCAGCAGCAATTGGAGAGGTAGGAAGCCTTCAAACTGAGAACAAGGAAGAACCAGGACTGATACTATTACCGATTGTCTGATTACACCCTTCTGAGGTTTATACTGGCCAGCTTATAAACATTCTATGTTAAGTTTGTGTTTTTAAAGGTAAGGTGACCTTACATTTATTTTAGGAATCATAACTACAACAGAGACACCATCTAAGATCATGGGCATCATCAAGCAAAGATTTTTTTTTTTTAAACTTACACTATATTTAATGGGAATGCTGATTCAGCTGATTCATGTCTTATGTGACAATGTGTTACTTAGTTTGTCTCACACACGAAGCAAACTCCAATCACAATGAAGAAACAATTTCTTTCTTTTTCTATGTGCAGACATCATGTGGTTGTATTTTTTAACATCACACAGAATGTGGATGTGACACAGTTTGTCATGTTGTTAATGTATTTGCATTAACTACAATAAGGGCTCAGCCCCACAGTGTGGGTGGGCCATTCAGCTTGCCCTTTATTATTAAATGCTGAATTAGCATTAATTAGACCAGTGCTCGCTTTCTGCCATGTGTGACTAATTTCGAGAGCATATGGTGGTGAAATTATGCATGACTCCAGGTCCACAGTTTGTTTCAAACCATGGTGACTAAAAAGGCACAGTTTAATCTTCCTTTTTCTGGGGGTGTGCATGGAGGTATTCTTTAGGCTTTTAATCACTACTAAGACTGACACTGTAGTTACCTGCTTACCATCTGTTTTACATGTTCAATAAATGTGCTATGTTTGGCTTTTGAAAATAGTGATCGAGTTAACATTAAAAAACGTGCATCGCTAGCCTAAATGGTGTAAAACTGCAGATTAGACTTCAACCAAAGCTGTGAAACATTTCACATTTTTAAACACATGCGTAATGTTGTGAAACAGTTGGCAGTTTAGTTTGCTTGAGCCGTCAAAATAAAATTTTCCATCATTGTTTATCATTACATGTAACCTCTCCTGAGATTTCAAAACAACATTTCTCCCTCTCATGTTCCTGGTTTGAACCAAAAGAATCTTCCTTTTGATTAAAATATGCATCTCTGTAGGCATCCTTTCTATAATGTTGTCACCCTTAGAATAACAATCTGAGCCTGTTTTGTAGCTGTCGGCTGACATACAACTCAATCACTTCAGATTGTTTGTTTTATTACTCATTTTGACACCCCCCAAAAAAGATGCAGGATTGTGAATTGCCCTGTTTGAGTTTTCCATTTATTATTGCATAAAGAAAAGTATAACTTTGGATTTAAGGTGTTTCATTGCAGCCTGATTTAAAGTGACATCCCAAATTGCACTCTAACCACTTTGTCAGTTCCCCAACCTCTATTACTGCATTTTCAATTTCCCTTCACCTTACGTTTGCAAAATTAAATGAGGATTCTGACACATTATAATTTATGATTTTCTTTGCACATATGCACAGTGTGAAATATAAATTAAGTTTGAGTGGGTAGAGAAAGTGTTTATATCCCGCAGTCAACATTTCACAGTCAGTATCCTTTTTTTAGCATTTGTTTTAATTCCATGCTACATGATGCCGTTAAGCAATAAGGATCTGTTACGGCTTTCAACGCTTTAATTTAGAGGTTTTTAAATTTGTTATAAACGGAAGCACCAATGAGGATGTAAAAGGGTTGTGTTGGTGGAGCTGTGTTCATTTAAAGAAGAACAAATAATTGAGTGATGCTATTGGTAAGAAACAAGGATTGTGTCGAGATACTGAAAAATGCCAGGAGCAAAAGGTTGAAAAAGCTAGAAAAGAGGACAGGTTGGAAGGGAGAAGGGCACTCATTAGGCTGTCAGATCATTCTGCAATCCCTGCTCGTGTTGCAGACACCAGCAACAACACACGGTTCTTTAAACTGGCTCTTGATTTTATGAAGATACGGCCTGGAGGCAAAGATTAATCATCCACAGAGGAGTAGGAGTTACCCCCATGACATGCACATCTCTCTTACCCTTTTCTGAGCGGTGAAAGGAAGCAGGTGGGATGTAGTGTCAGGTGGGGTGGGTGGCATCAGCATGTTCAGATGTGTCTGACAATCATTGGCGATGTTAGGTCCATTGAGGGGGTCTGTTCATGTAACAGAGTAAAAGAGGTATGAATACAAATGGATTTCAATCAGGTCTTTAATAAGACGCCACCTGGGGCTGCAGACCTGGATGCATGTTAGAGGATTATTATTTCACTGGGTTTCCGATAATCTATGGCGTTTAATATATTCTGTTTGGGGTTGAGTCATGAAGTCAATGAAAAATGAAACCAGATTTAAGTGTCTCCTGCAGTAGCAGGTGTAACATTCTTTTAGTAACTTGGCTCTAACATCCAGATGACAAATGTCTTTCACCTCAGAGAAACCTCACCCCTCTTCAATCTGTTTTCTGTCACACCCTCTTAGTATGTCACAGCCTCAGTTGTACATTTGAACCTTTTTATTCTCTCCACCTGTTGTTTAGTATATCTCTCTCTCTCTTTCTCGCTCTCTGTCTCTCTCATTTACCTGTAGGGGGAAATAATATGAAAAACATACAAGGAGACTGGACTGTCAGGTTTGCCTTTTGCGTTTCTGCCATGTGCAGAGGCTTTGTTCTGCTACTGTTTCCTGTAAACTGCCATTTGTTGATGTTTTTCTCTTCTAGGTAGTGGGAGAGTGGCGCTTTAGCAAGATCCATTGTGACATCTTTGTCACTCTGGATGTGATGATGTGCACGGCCAGCATCCTCAATCTCTGTGCCATCAGCATTGATCGGTGAGTTTGTCTCTGCAAAGATTGTTTAGACCTGCTTCACGTGCTTCCTGCATTGATTTTTTTAGCGGAAATCTTTAACCTTTTGAATAACAAAGGAGAACTGCTACCTTTAGTTGATAAACAGAGCCCATATGTCTGTATACAGACTAAATGCCATGTCCAAACATGGATCTAGCAACACCTTTATTTTTATGTAAATTGTCCAGGAAATAAATCAAACTGTAGCATTTGAGGAACAATATGCATAATTTAATGTATACCTTTAGGATAGGTGTGAGCATAAAGAAGTCAAAGCAAATGTGGACTTCTGCATTATAAGAACTATTTCAGGCAAGCCATTTTCATTGGTTATAGAAGGCATCTCGTGACCCCCCTTCTTAGTATGTCACGACACCCCAGAGGGTTCCGACCCCCCACTTTGGGATCCACTGCTTTAGATTACAACAATGCAATGAGTACGTTGATAGTGATCAAAGCTATTATGTTCCATTCTCTACAAATAAAGCAACATATAGTGCTGTTTAAAACACAAGTTCAATAAAGTAACTGTTTCTTCAAAAGTTCTCCTCCTCCAGGATTCATCTATAATTAAAAACAACACACATTTTTAGTTGTGTAAATGACATGATTGAATAAAGTGCTTCGAAAGAAGATCAAAAACTGCTGATGGAAGAAGAAACATTTCAAAGCTTTTCTTTTGAAGTGCATGTACAGCATGAGTTCTTAATAAAGAACAGCAGGAAGTGATCATATAATGTTGACAAGCAGAATAAGTTTCACGGTGGGAGATAGTTTTATTCTAGATGAGGCACTCATGGATTCATCCTTAGAATATAAAAAGACGCAACATCTTCCATATATACAGGCCTATAAATATAGCATATCAGTGTTTCTCACACATACCGTTGATGATACTCATCGCCATGGTGAGTTTAAGAGTGCAAGAGAGAGAGAGAGAGAGAGAGAGACAGAGAAGTCCACAGGTAACTGAGGTGTTACGTGCAAAAACTGAAGATTATTATTGCCGTCGTTTTAATATTTCCTTGCAGCTGCTTGCTGCCGATGCTGTCCTGCCTTTGTAGTTAATGATGACTGTTGAGATAAGATAAGTCATCAATAAGCTTCCTGTAAATACCTGATGTGATAACAGCAAATTGAGAGAAGGCAAGCTGCAATCTCCGTTGTTGAAAAATAAAGCCAATGCAGAAGTTCAAAAAACTGCAGTTCCTTGAGTGTCCACTTGAGGCTGGCTCCAACAAACCTAAAATCCCACACACACCCCATATTAAAATGTCCATTTTCACAGCAGAAATTAATATGTTTTAAAGCCTATTGCAAAGATTTTGGTCTTATTGGTTAATGTTATATCGGCGCACAATATGGGAGGGGGGGTTAATACATATATATGTAAGGCAACCGCCATGGATGTGTGTGCATGTGGAAGTGAATGGAAGGGAAGTCAGGCAAGCAGATTAAAATGGTTTGTGACACAAATTAACACAAAGTTAAAGAATAAAGCAAATAAAGCAAAATGACTATTTACTGTATATTGTCTATAGGACCTAGTGTTAAAATGTAACCTGTCTAACATAACTAGGTTATATATTTATTGATATATTTAGCGCCAATTCACATCAATTTATTTATTTATTATCACACACACACAGAATTCTATCCAGTCTAAATTGACATGATTACCTACTTAACTGTTTTTTCATCCTATATCCATATGTGAAATCAGTAGTCACCATGGGACATGGATGTATTAACAAATCTAATTGAAGAATAATGGTGAGAATGCAAATGTGTCATATGCAGAGAAAAGCTTATTAGTCTTCATGATCCCATGATAGTTGACTCTTTGTGTGTTTTACAAATGAGTGTTGTAAGCAGAGAGGAATAGTTTCAAAAATTAACCTTTGAATGTCATTTATCTGACTCATGTGCGCTTGCTGTCTACTCATGAATACAAATCAAGGAATTGATGAGTGTGATAGAATCAAGAATTACTGTCTTGCTGATTTATTTCAGGGTACATGCTGATTCGTTCAGTTCAGATAAGAGTCACAGACACATTTCCAGTTTCCTTTTAGAAATTCAGCAGCTCCAGGCTGCATTGTATAATATGTACATCAAAGGATTGTTTCTTTGTCTTATATTCACCAAAGTGGAGAAACAGGGGGTGATCACATTAAGGGCTGTTTTGCAGTTCTGTGTGAATGAACTCAGGATGCACTTACACACAAGTGACTGGATTCACTTATTTGGGAACACAGGCCAGAATATGAGGAGGTTGATACTCTTTTTGTTTAAAAGATAAAAAATAAAAATAGCGTTTGGTGGTTTTAGAACAATGGCCATTCTAACAAGCTACTCACCGCCTCATCATAGCAGAAGGCTAATGGGCCTGAGAGGCTGTGTTTGTGTAGGAGGTGATATGAATACACACATGCCAATAAGCAAAACTCTAAACTGTGAAGACATCTACGATTTCAGATACAAATTCTTGTCATAAATTCTTCGGGGAGTCATTAGTATTTTAAGACAGAGCCTTTTGCACATTATGTTAGTGACAAATAATCATGCAAAATAACTTTGGCTATCTTTTGCGTCTTTTGTATTTTATGTCAACTCAGAATCTGAATGTTATGTTTGCATCCAAATGCCGTGGGACAAAAAAGGTTGATATTCTGTTTAGGTAATTACATAAATGCACAGCTTTCCATAATAACGCTTTTAACAAGACACACAATGTGATTCTGATCATTCTGCTTTAAGGATAGATGTCCTGAGTCCTCATTTATCTCCAGTGATTTAAGCCTTAGGACAAAACATCTCTGCAATATAGCCTTTAAATCTGCAAGCAAAATAATTAGCTCCAACTGGTTTGAATTTCACAAAATCTTATGCGAAACCAGATATGTGATATGCAAAATGACATGTTCCATGCTTATAATTGCCTTAAAAAGGAACTCTGTGAAGTTGTTTTTAGTTTGATTCTTACCTTATGTGTTTCACACACTGTGTGTAGCTTTGGGGCCTGACTTCATGTCTGTATTACATTGTCTTCTTCATAAAACATTCACAAAGGGCTACTTAAGAATACCGTTTTGTTGTTTGAATACATGTTAAGTAGGTTGCACTGTTCTTTCCCTTTCTTTGTGCATTGCATCATCTGAGGAACTGTTTGTCAAAGAGTAGCTCAAAGCTTTAGCGTTCATCCAAACTGGGGACCTATTTTGAAAAAAAAAAAGAGGAGGCATACTAGTGTTGAGTTTACTTCACAGAGTACAGTTGTAAAGTGAGGGAGAGAAAGATCAACATTGGGGCCTTTGTGGCTTGACTGTGTGTGCATGTCACTTCAAAATGGATAATATACAACTCTTTCATTCCTCATATTATCTGAACCTCATCTTTAACATTTCAGAAACGTAAAAAAAAAGAAAAAGGAGTGTGTGTGTGTGTGTGTGTGTGTGTGTGTGTGTGTGTGTGTGGGGGGGGGGGGCACATCATTTTGCCTTGCATCACCACTGTGTACTATAAGTATTGGGGAAATTGTAAGAGTGTCTCTACCATATCTAGTGATTCAAAGGTCCAGTGTGTTGTACATTGTAACACAACAAACACCGTGGTGGTATTATAATAATAAGTATCATAATATCATATGATAAAAAATGAAATGTCCATAAAAACTGACAAGGACCTGAGAAATAGCAAAAACACTCAGAATACATGAGGAAGGAAACTAGACTACAACTGACCCAGAAACAGAGAGAAGCCCCAGAGAATCCACTGGGAGGGTAAGAGTAATGAAGCACAGGTTAGACCAATGAGGCAGTGGAAACAATCAGGGTGGGTCCAGCAATCATACAGGCAGGGAAACACATAAAGCTACATACATGACAGGGTAGTGTGATCAACAAAGTAAAACAGGAAAGGATTACTGATCAACAAAATATATAAAATATATACTGTAACAATAGAACTCACACTCATTATAAGAAGGATATTCCTGACTTCCCTCGTGCGCTTCATGTAGAAGTATGTCTTGGATATACCTCTTGTTCTCAGCTGTCATTTGAGTGGAAATTTCCACCTATAAATAGAAAGTGGCTACAGAAGGAGAATCGTGCAATCCATCACAAATGATTTCAAACCATACAAGCATGGTTGACAACCTTGTTTTCATTCTTTCTTAGATTTCTGAAGAGAAGTGTCATTTATTTACAAGTTGAAACTAAAGTGACTTCCTTTTACTTTCACAGCTACACAGCAGTTGCGATGCCAATGTTGTACAACACCCGTTACAGTTCCAGGAGACGGGTGACAGTTATGATCTCGGTGGTGTGGGTGCTGTCTTTCGCCATATCGTGTCCCCTGTTGTTTGGCCTTAATAATACAGGTAAGAAAGAATATAATACAGATGGCTGTATGCTTTTGGTACAGAAATATTCCACATATTCTGTGCCTTAATGGGTAAAGCAGTAATGGTGCTGTAGTGTATTATTCATGGCTACTTCCATTGTAGAGAGGTGGAGTATGCAGGCCTACACAGTAAACACTTACAGTATTGTGAACAGCTGTGCTTTAGTCACAGAACAGAGGCTTTGGGGAGGATTACAGTTGAAGCAGTTCCTGATTTAGAGCTTTTTTCAGTGTGTTGCTAACCAGCTCCTGTGACTGTCATCCTGAAACTTTGAAGCTCCGCTCATCCCTCTGAGTGCCTGGATGTGATGTCGATTCTACCTCAGTCAGATACATTTGTGAGCCACTGCTTTTAAGTGAGGGTTGGCAGCGGGAGAGTATGAGAAGCAGACAGAAAGAATGAAAGCAGAGACTACTGCAGGATTGGCTGAAAATTGAGCAATGGAGAATTGTTTTTAAGTTAAGTAACTTATATCAATCAATTAATGAACCTATCAGTCAATTTGTATTCGTATAGCACCATTTAAATTTGACACTTTACAAAAAAGAGTGGGTCTAGACTTATATTTATAGTTTTCTTTTTTTTAGACTTTGATAGTCCTCATCATGATGAATGAACAGGATTCCAAAAGGAAAATTAGGCACCCTTAATGGAAAAAACGCTTTCCCACCCTTTATTGTGAACACATAATAACCCACACAATGACAGTTGTTATCGGTTCCTGTTGGCAACAATCATGGCATAATCTGAAGCCTGTCTGAAGGGTCTGAGGTTAACTCTTGGTATGTGATTCCAGAAGTTTGACAGACAGACTGGTTCTTTCCAAAGACTGTAACCTCAGTGTGAGTGCAGTTAAAAAGTCAGTGAAGTAGCTAGAGGAAGTGTAAAAGTGAATTAGAGAAATCAAAATTTAACGTACAGCCAGTTCAGCGAGTCAAAAAATGGTGCGATACAATCTCTACATTTCGCTCCTGATAAAAGCCTCATGGCAGCATCCCGGACCATCAAAATGGCCGGTTTGACCGTGGTAGGTGGGGAAGTATTGATCCAGACTCTGGAAGAATATGTTGGGGGGGAAAATTGTTTGGTGCAAGACCTCTTAGTTCTGTAGGTGGAGTGAAGAAGTGGTCACAGTTTTGGAAGAATTTTTGAAAGATTGACGTAAAAATACCTCAACTTCAGCTGCAAGTTCAAGCCAATCCTTCCATTTTTAATATAGGAAGTTTTCCAGGAGTCCCACTGACATGAAAACAACAAAACTATCCCAACAAAAAGAGAAAACTGTTAGATGGAACATATCATGACGTGTGAAGCCTTTATCCCCCCTTGTGCTTATCTTCACAGCCACTCGCGATGAGTCCCTCTGTGTTATCGCAAACCCGGCCTTTGTGGTGTACTCCTCCATTGTGTCCTTCTATGTCCCCTTCATCATCACTCTTCTGGTTTATGTGCAAATTTATGTGGTCCTGAGGAAGCGCAGGAAACGCGTCAACACCAAACCAAAGCAGCGTGTATGTCAGACTGCTGACCCTGATGTGGCCGCTTCTCTAAAGGTGAGATGTTATGGTTTACAGCTAGCACTTTAGGGCCTCAGTGTGAAACTGAGATTGATTTACACCTTTATTAAACCAAAGCCCTTTGTAAAAAATGTGTGTTTTTCAACCATTGTAAAAAAAACACAACAAAACATAAGACGTCTCTTACCCTTTAAGCTCCCTTGCTTCTTTATGAAACTCCAATCAATAATGTTCTTGACCATATTATACATGAGGGTTCTATGGACAGGCATTGTATTACATAACAACATACCATAAAGGAAAAACACAGACAAGAAGGGAATTGATTTTCTTTGAAAAGAACAACATTGGAAAGCCGATATTAAAAGGGCAAGGTTTAGTTACACTTAAAGCAAAGTATTGCCCCCCCCCCCCAGTTTGAAATAGCTGGTTTCAGTTAAGCGATTAGTTCTAATCTTATTATTACATTTACTAGCACATTTAGAGTCAAAAGCCGTCATGCAGCTTTAATAACTATGGTCCCCTAAATGACCTTTTGCTATTCTGGTTATTGATTTTACTGACACAGTAAAACTCAATGGGCCCTGCACAGGAAGTCAAGTAATGCTTTTGATCCAGTGCACTACATTACTCATGTTTGTGCATTTACAGCAACATTTGTGTGCGTGTGTGTTCGTGTGTGTGTATGTGTTTGTGTTTGAATGAGGTCAGGGAAAACATTTATAACAAACACTTGTAAAGGGGAAAAAGACCATATGTAACTCTAAAATGTCATGATCCATGAAATTGTTACACAAGCTTCACTCATCATGAAAATCTTGGATGAGATATGATCACTTTGGTGGAATAATCTCAGCTCTCACATTGGCGTTTTAATTGACTTGCAGATTAAGTTGTGGGTCAGATTCTTGCAAAACATCCTCTCAGTGCTGCAGTTCCATGTGGCCTCATTAGACACGCTCAGCAGGGGGACTTGCTCTTGGATCACATTTTGTCCGCTGTGCTTTGATATTGTACTTTCTTCTTGCCTGACTGAGCTGTTTTCGTTTCAGGATAAGTGCACTCATCCAGAGGATGTACGGTTGTGCACCATGATTGTTAAAACAAATGGGAGTTTCCCTGTCAAGAAGAAGAAAGTGGTTAGTGCAATTGTTTTGCTTTTTTGTTTATTTTTATTCTTCACAGTTTAGTTGTTGAAAACATTTTCTTTTCATTTCTCAGAGTGTGAACAGGTTAAAAAGGCACGTTTCTGCTTCTAAGAGCATGGAAAACTTAAATTAAAGCCTCAAAGAGTGATAATCTGTCCTCTTTTCATGCATATCATTTTAAATGCCACCCATTGTGCACTCATGAAACCTGACCTTCTGAATCAATGTTTCCTTGCACCTCCTGACCTTGGCCAGATTTTCATCAAAGATGGAGTCCATGAGGGGGAAGATCTGGAGCTGGATGAGCTGAACAACAGCAGCTGCTGCCATAACCAGAAGCAGCAGCCTCAGGGTGCTCTCGGAGACACTCCAGCCACCAGCCACCAACTACTGATGCCCAACAAAGCCAACGCCAGCCCCACATCGTCTCCTCCCACTCCCCCCGAGGAGAGCCAGAAAGCAGAGAAAAATGGAGATCCTAGCAGGGAGGCCATAAGGGATCCTGCACCTGTCGTGACGAAAGCCTTTCAGACACAGGCTTTACCTAACGGCAAGACCCAGACATCTGTGAGGACCATGAGCAAGAGGAAGATCTCCCAGCAGAAGGAGAAGAAGGCCACGCAGATGTTGGCCATCGTCCTGGGTAGGTTCCCACATGAAACACATCAAATATTTATCAAATATATAAATATCACAGCATTAAACATGGTTACTCTTTTCAAATTAGACAGAATATTTTTTCCGCTCAATTGTACAACAAACTTATCTTGAAAAATACCAAAAAAATTAAAAAAAAGTTTTTCTTTTGCGCAAGCTCTCTGAGGTTCCATCCTCTGTCAAATTGTTTTGGTAAGGCTGTAAAACAGAGCCTGAAAACATGAATGTCAGTGATGCAATAACAAGAAATCATTTTGCTGTTCGTATTTCAGAGGAAAAATCCTTTTCAAGTTCTCAACAATAAAGGCTTAATATGCAACATTTTACACTTAAAGCAGAAATCAAGTAAATCCTCTGAAAATAACTGACGGTCTACAATGAGTGTGACACCGAAGTCTCTGTGATGTTGTCCGAACTGCATCTACACCGTGTTTACATGGACCGGATGGCCGGACGGCTCATCCCCTTGGGTATAAAAGTTGTTTAATTGAGGGACTAGAGAAAAGAAGAATAACATACTGTACTCACTGCTTATTTGACTGTCACGTAACCGTTTTTAGATTACGGTAATTTAGTGTAAATTTACATGCAGTGTAAAGCTACGAGCAAACTAAATAGTGCTAGCATTAGCATGCTAACATAACAATGCAGGTGGAGTTGTTTTGGTTTCATACTGGTGCTCAAGGGCGACATCTATTGGATCAAAAAGTCGCATATTCTTTCTTTAAGGTGTTAAATCTGAGGATCTTCTTTACTGTACCTTCATATATTCTAATATGTCCATTTCTTTTTCTCGTGAATCCCCAGGTGTATTCATCATATGTTGGCTGCCATTTTTCATTACACACATCCTGAACACCCACTGCACAAAATGCAAGGTCCCCGCTGAGATGTATAATGCTTTCACTTGGCTGGGCTACGTGAATAGTGCTGTAAATCCCATCATATACACCACTTTCAACGTGGAGTTCAGAAAGGCGTTCATTAAGATCTTGCACTGCTAAACCGCATCGTCAGTCTGCTCAGACTGAGGGAGGAGTGATAAATAAAAGAATCTCTTCTAGCAAATACCTCATCCTGTTAAGGAAATAAAACGCATCACAGAGGAAAGCAGCTTTGTAAAGTTGTGAAGCTGAGTGACTGAAAAAAAGACAGTGTCTCGTAAAAAAAGACGTGTTGGCTCTCAATGTGAATCGTTTGTGGAGTAACCGTTCTCCAAATCGCTGAATGTAAAACAAGAAATGTCTGTAACAATGAGCTGTTTCATGGAGAAGAGAGAAGTTGTAACATTGTTTATTAAAAATCATTGTGCTTGTCACATAAGGGGCCATCTGTGTATACCACACACACACAAATTGCTATTTATTGTGCGTGTACTTTATGTTTAGATGATGGATATTTTTTGCAAATCTTATAGCTATCAAGTCAATGTTCATTGCAGTGTTAAAACTGATACGTGAGCTCTTATTCTGAAAAACCTATCAAAGACTGGAATGTGTGTTACAGAGACATTTTAATGTGGCCATGCCAATATCCACATATGTACAATTTCATAAATTGAAAACCTATATTATTAATGTAGTAAATTATTTATTATTATTATTTATTATTTGCTGTACAGATTTTTCTCTATACATAAACTGTGATTATATGCCTGAAATCGAAATGTGATGCATGTTACACTGCTTCTCTTCTTGACTTCTCAAGAAATGTATGTTTAACAAAAAGAAATGACAAAAGATAAATAAATGAAGTGATGAGACACTATGAGGTATCACATGGTAATCAGTGTTTGCAGTGTATAAGGATACACACGTGAATGGGTGAGATATTTCCAGCTCCAGTTTGAAGTTTCAGTAATGTTGTTTACTGCCACTAACCCGCAGCAGTGGAGTTCTTTTGCAGCAAACTAATGATCTGTGGATTCCACAACTTCCAGGTAAAACCATGTGGATGTGTGTGACCCCTGAAGCAGCTCCCTGGGGTCTGTTGTAAGAAAGAGTGAGGAGAAACTTGGCAAAACTGAAATAATAGTTGGAGAAGTTCATCTATGTGTTTCCTCTTGTTTTTTGTTTATTTTTTTTGCGGGCGACAAATCTTGCACAACTTTTCGTTCAACAATACAGACATTACTTGACAAAGATATGTTAATGTTTCGCTGAATACCAGCCATTTAGTACTATAGCTAAAGTAAAATCATTCACTCTGTCATTGTGAAGTCCTACATTCAAATGCAGACAAGAAAATAAAGTATTTTGAAAAATGTTTTGTTTTATGACCGCAATTTTGTGGGAGTCAGTTTACAAAGTGTTTGTTGGATCGATTTTATCACATTGTAAAATGCCCATTTAATAAGCATTTGCTTTATGTATTTAGAAAATGAAAATGTTTTCAAGCCTTTGTTTTATTTTTTCATCATGTAGCTACTGGGCTATCAGAGTGTTTGTCTATAGTCTTTGGAACCGCATTTTCACCTTTAGTTAAGTCATCGTTTTTTTTAGAAGTCCCAACAGTAATATTGGTATTGGCCTCTAGTACTGCCTAAAATGTGGGCTTCAGATTACTTAGTATGCTTTTAATACACAGATCCAATACCAGAACCAATTAGGCCCTAAAAATCAGCTGGTTTCTGGTAAATTGTTGTGTGACAATAACAAACAACAACAACAGTGTGGTGCTAGAAAAGAGTGTTTTGTTAGTCAAAGCTAATTCATGTCAGCAATAACAGGTTTTCCACGTTTTCCATGTCATTTTCGTTCTCTATTATTTTTGGTATTTGTTGCTTTTTGGTTGCATTGGTAAATAAATATGTCACTTTTCATTGAACTACTTATATTACATGGGAGGAGGGATTTTTTCACTGACACAGAGTCTCCATGAAGAGCAACCTGGACTCACATTTTTCTTCTAATTCTGAAATACTGCTACAAGAATGGGTCTCTCTGTTGTTTGTGAAATAGTAAAAGATGTGAATTGATAAATAAAAATTAACATTTGCAGAGTATGAGGTAAAATGCAGATTATTACCTTTTCCTTTGAACATGACATCAGGTTGTGTTGTGACTAAAGTCAGACAAAAAAAACAATGTAGCACTGCGACATTTTCAGGATAAAAATAACATCTGTATAACAGAAAGTAAACATACAGAGTACGAGAGCCAGCAGCAGCAACAACAACAACAACATGATATTGAAGTTCCTGTAATGCTGTTAGCAATCACTGACTCTCACCCCGGCACAAAAGGTAACAGAAAGGAAAGTTCTTGCTTTTCAAAGCAATTTATCACGTCTGGCAGTGGGTAGTCTCAGGAAATGTACAGTTCACCTGTTGTTGTTTTGAAGTTGTATTTGAAGCGAAATAAACTAACTTGTTTATCATTGATGAATTGCTGTGGCAGGACCTCAAAGTTTTCTCCAATGCAACAAAATTGTATAGTTTAGGAAGCAACTCTTGGAAAAGTGGTGAGGGATTTTTCTACTTTGAAGAACATTTTTAAAAATGATTAGGTCACAGCTGAAAGTTAGATGTAAAGCTATCTTAAGCTGAAGCCTTTAGACAAGAGCTTAGCTTAGCATTTGCACCGTAAACAGAAAGATAGCATTAGACTGGCTCTGAAGTTTAAAAAAAAAGGACTGAACCTTTTAGCACCTCTGATGCTTGCATTTGACAGGTTGTCTCTATAATTTATACAACAACACAAAAAACAAATTTCAAAACAACAAGCTGTGCGTTAATTATTATCAACATGTGCTGTCCCCAGTGACATCTGAAGCCATTTATAGGATATTACCAGACCATTGTTTTCATGGTCATAAAAAAATGTGCTTGACAAAAGTCAAGGGTGGCAAGGGTGGCTCAGTTGGTAGTCATCGCCTTTTAACCGAAACATCGAGGGTTCGATCCCCAGCTGAGCAATGTCCGAGGTGTCCGATGTGTGGCAAGACACTTAACCCTGCATTGCTCCCGCTGCTTTGCTGGCGGTGTATGACTGGATTAGTGTTGTACTTACTCTCTGATGTACGTCGCTTTGGATAAAAGCGTCTGCTAAGTGAATTGTAACATAAGTAGTAATTAAAGTCACATTAAGTATAAATGATGGCAATGCAGGTTAACTGCCATTAAGCATATAACAGATCTAAAAAAACATTTTACCAAATGCAAATAACATTCAATTAAACACAAAAATAACTCATAAATAAAAAAGAGATGTAATAAAATGCAGACATCTTTCATGAAACGGCAAAAAAAAAACTTTCCTTTACTGCCAAAAAAATGTCAGCAAACGGAAAAGGTAAGATTTTGTTTGTGACTGGACAAGTCCTTAGCAACAGGACTTAAGGTAATTAATTTTCTGTTTATACAGGCTAATGCAGTCACGCGATTCAAGTGGTATGCTCCAATCAGATTTTTTTGCATTTCATGAAATATTTTTGCATTTTGTGAAATATTTTGGTTTCATAAAATAATATTGCTTTTTATATGATTATGCAGTTATTTGCACATTTTAGCATTTCAGGAAATGTATTATTGCACCTGATGTCCTGGGCCAACAGGACATGCGTAGGTAAATATAAATAAAATGTTTTTTTTCCTTTCAGTGAGAAAACAAATCCCATTACACTTTCAAATGTCCTGTATTTGTTGGACCCCAACAACCTCCTGATGCAGACTTTCTTGCTTTTATGCTTCATCATCCGACTTCCTCTCTTGCTCTGAGCTCATCAGTATTACTGTACAATTGCCACCAACAGTCATTGACTTCTTGAAAATTGGCTATTAGACCTTGATAAAATTTTAAATGGCCTACTTGTTACGGTTTGTATCCAGACCTAAAAGCAGACACGGCAGCAAAGTTGAAGGATTTGAGGTTTTATTGCAGGGTTTGGAAAAAGTGGATGGCTGACTGGCTGGCTGGTAATGACGGCGTGGAGGAGACTATGGAGTAGCTGGTTCTGTAGGCAGGTGGGTGAGTGGCTGCGTTGTCTGTGAGGAGAGCAGACTGGAGGAGATGACACCGGTGAGAATCTGGACAACAGGAGAGAAAAATCAGTTAGGATCCCCTAGTAAAACGCTTGGAACAAAACTCTAACAAATGTTAGGAGCAGCCGATAGTATCTACCACTTCAGTAGACTCAATAATCTGGCAATGAGTCGAGTTGAGCCCAGGGCTTTTAACTTGAGGCAGATGAGCAGATGAGCTTCAGGTGTGAGTAGTCACCCGGTGTTGATTGCAGCTACACTCTCCAGAGACACACACGCAGACAGACAGAGGGGGGGGACACAAAGGATACACAGTAACAGGATCACAGCCAGAGCTGTAACACTACTTAGCCAAAAAGGAGGAAAAGAAGGGCCCTTAGTTTTTATTCTGATGATACGTGCTAACGTGCATAGAAAAGGAAGACAACTTCCGTGTCAGCTGTGTTTATGGATTTGATGCTAAGCTAAGCTAACTTTTGCCTGTTATCAGTATTAATGGGGCAGATATCAAAGTGACATTGATCCTCTTGTCTAATGTTGCCAGTAAAAAAGTATAATTCCAAACATTTCTAACCTTCCCTTTAAACTGGAATTTGATTTCAGAGTCTAGTATTGATAAGGATTATTAGATTTTGTAATACCAAGCAAGCAGTAGCAGCTACATTTTCTTCACCGGTGTAATACTTGCCAGTAACAATGTACAGGGAATGAAAGATGTTGTACATTCCTGATTGCTACATAGACTTTTCTATTATTTTGTAATTGTCTCTCCTCCTTATGGAACAAGAGCAGCATCAGGAAATAGAGTGTGTTTTGTCAGTTTCATTGAGTCCCTTCAGGCAGTGGCTGAATGATGTGATGTACCTGGTGACCGAGCTTAATGGACTTCCACTGAGTCCTAAGACATTTGGATCCTATTTGCCCTCTAGCAAATACTATTAAAGCGAAGACTTTCGAGAAGAGCCTGGACGCAGGTTTTTTGATGACAAAGGAAAGGAAAAACAGTTATTTATGTTAAAACAGCCAATACCATCTGAGTGGCTTCATACCATATGTAACTATAGATGCTCCAAAAGGGACAACAGGTATACAACATACTCCCTGTAATATTTATGTAAAAAGCATGTCATGTTGTAGAATACAGTCAGATCCTTTTCTTCCATCCTGGTTTATGAGTCGGTTTTCCTGGCACACATCCATGTGGACTCTCTGCTATTTATGGATCTCCCATAGACCTGCGTGACATGTGTACACATGATATTCCCATAATAAAATCCCAAGGGGGAGTTCCCCATACCGACGTACAGGACCAGCACCAATCATGTCTGACAAGTACTGTGTGCTGGCATCCCTCCTGTCTGTGTAATAGCTACTGAATCATTTTAATTAGCAGCTGCTTTTGTTAAAAATTAAGTACTTTTATTCGGCCGTCAGTTACCATTAATAAATCAAATGGTGCATTCTTGATGCTTAGTTTTATTTAAAAGACTAAATGTGCTCTATTTTGTTTCGTTTGATGCTTTGGAGAATCTTGTGATTCAATATCCTTGGAAATATTGTTGGATATTGAATTATCAACGAGTAGCTGTCATTGACAATTGCCTGGATGTAGAATCAAAGAGTTATTCACAAGATATTTGTACAACAGAACTGCATCAAAAAAATAGGGAATTAGGCGCTGTGTAGTGTTGAGTTGAATGTGAAAATCCCAGCCATGTAGACAAAGACCACACATTTACTAGCATGTTAAGTGGTTATCCCCCACAATGCTAATGCAGTCTTTTTGTAAGCATTCATTCATGTGTACTCAGTCTATTAACAGCTGTGGTTTTGATCCCTCTTTTATCGCGGGTGCTGCGAGGTGGCTCTGTGTTTCTGATTAAATTTCTGATTACACCAGGGGAGCTCTCTGAACGCTAGCCAGCCTGCCCCCACCCTCCACCCCCCTCCTTCACTCTTCCTGAGCTCCCCAAGCCATCAATTCAAGCAACACTGCTATACTGAAGCTCTGATCTGCCAAACAGGAAGCCTCTCTGAGCCCAACACACCCTCTCTAGTCCTTGTCAATCTTTTAATATGGCATCTGAAATGACACATGACAAAGCCATGGCACTCATCTGTGATTTATGATTTTGCAGAGCACATTGTTGATTCTGCAGCGAGGTACATCAAAGACAGCATCGATAACAGAAAGGTAACCTTGGAAGTTAGTTTTTTTATGACAGGAGACGCTACAGCATCAAACTCAGGGTCTCTAAGGAAACACTTCTTTTTGTTTTTCTTC